TGCTCCCCTCCCTGCCTCTAACAAAGACCCTGCATGGAGAGAAAAGGAGAAACAATACAACGAAGGATTTAGTTTAACAGTCATGATCTAACAATGACATAATTAAAGGAAATGAGATCTAAAATAATACGCAGTCTCATCATTACCACTGCACCCGAAAATAAAGCATGGGATAGGAGGACGAAGAGGCGGATGGGGTTGATTTTCGGAGTTTCATATTGAGAAGATGGAAGAAAGGGTTCTTTTCAGGGATTGAGAGTAGGAGGAACAAACAGCAGCAGGAGATGGTTTTCGGAGTTTCATATTGAGAAGATGGAAGAAAGGGTTCTTTTCAGGGATCGGAGCACGGTCTCTCCTTCACTGATTAACGAATTTATAGATTGACTCGTAATTACTTTTACTTTCCCTCCCTTCACATTTACTGAAAATTACAGTCCCTACCACTGCCTCGGCCTTGGTAACGCCAGCATTGGTTATGGGCAAAAGCGACTTTCCGAATTCGGCAATATCTGATTGGGTGACACGCCGCGGTTAGGATTGAAGCTCTTTCACCATCGGATTAAACAAAAATTTAGGAATTGACGGCGGGAGATGGGGATGTGCTTTTAGACTGGCTTTGTAGATTAACTAACTTTTTCGTTTACCAAAATTAATCTACAGATTTGGTACATGTAATTGTAACCCTAAACCCTAAACCAAACCCTAATACACGAACCAATCAATACCATATACTCTACAACAATAACAACACCTTATAGGCTTATACCGTAACCAATCAATAACATATATACTTTAAACCATCAACACCTTGCTCCTCCCTTATACCATAACCTTCAAGACCTTATACTGTATACCAACAACACCTTCTTCTAACTCCATCCCCAACTTTCAATTTATAATAAGTGTTTCCTTTGAAATATAAAATGGAACCCACCTTGGCAATTGCTAGCATAATTTAGGGATGTAGATGAATATAAATTGTTAAGTGATGAATTGCTAAAATTGATGATGTGGCGGTAGGGACCTCGTTTAGAAATTGTTGTTCAATTTTAGGGATGAAGATGATCAATACACTAACCCAATACCATATACTCTAAACTATCAACACCTTATACAATATCGTATTTTAGGGATGGAGATGATCAATACACTAACCCAATACCATGTACTCTAAACCATCAACACCTTATACAATATCGTATACCTATACGCTGATAAATTAAAATTATAACTTGCTTTTCAAAACATAAATTAAAAATTGATACTCACTAAGTATCGAACCACAAACCTCTACTTTATTGACTAAGCAAATAAGAGACAATTAACCAATTAAGCTACATCACATTGATGACCATCTTGCATAATTTCGCTTTCTTATTAAGTGAAGGGTTAAAATGAACGATAAATATATCACAGGGGATTGTTTCAACTTCGGCGGGGACTGAGAGAGTGGAAAAGGGGTAATTATTCTACCAAAAAAGAAAAGAAAAGGGGGAATTAATGAAGAGTTAAATTGGACGGATTGTCTTTACCACGCCACTACAAAATCATTCGGAGCAAAAACACGCAGGTTCAAATCAAACAATAAATGATCAGCATTTATAAGCAGATATAAAGAATTATGTCTAAGTACTGATAAATGTGTCACGCTACAATAATTATGTCTAAGTTTTTTTAGTAATAAGGCATGATCAGCATTTATAAGCAGATATAAAGAAAATATAAAATCGAGAAAAAATAAGACAACACCTACCCTCACCCTTTAACCAATCGATACCATATGCTCTAAACCATCAACACCTTATAACCTACCCATATACCATATACTCTATACCATCAACAACCTAATACCCTAAGCAGTCAGTACCCATTTCCTTTAACATCAACACCTTATACAACAATCGTATACCTTTACGCTGATAAAATTTTACATTTTGAAAATACTTGCCCAACTAAAGTACATAGGTACTTCAAAAGTGAAATTCTAACTTTCGTTTCAAAACATAAATTAAAAAAATATCCTCACTCAGTATCCAACCACAAGCCTCTCATTAGTCTACAAGAGGTTTGTTATGTACGAGTGCATTGCATAAAGAGGGGAAATCGGCGAGAGAGTGGAATGGGATCTCAATTAATGAAGAGTTAAATTGGGTGGATTGTAGTTTACCTCGTACCGCTAAATGTGTAAAGAGACACGCTAGCATTTACCAAATCCCAAAAAAGATGGAACACAGAATTATGTTTAAATTGCGTGAACTCAATGAATGATCAGGATTTTAGAAGCAGAAGCAGATGAAAATAAGTAAAACAAAGAATCGCCACTGAGATAGACAATTATCAAAGGCCCAACCTAATGACAATCCGGAACTCAGTATCTATTATCAACAAACTAGATGTCATGGGTCATGTACAAGCCCACGTTTGAATGTTATTTAAAAGCCTGCAAAAATCAATAATCAGACCCAGTCCAACTAGAATTAGTCCTAAACGCACCGTTAATACATAAACACAAATTAAGGAGACCTCTCCATCTGATTCGAATCAAATTAGGTCTTCTTCATCTCCTTCCTCAATCCTCTGGGCGAGACGAACACTGCATATCAGGAAACCTTAATTTCACCGAGTGATAGAAGTTTCGAGAAAATGACAATAACGCTAAGACAAGATGACAAAGCACTAGCGACATGAACCCTAGGGTTAGCAAACCTCTTTCAAGGGTTCTTTTGCAAACGAAAAGTTTGATGAACACAATAATAGACATGGTCGCCGTAATCGTGTTAGAAAGAGATAGGCGAGTAAATTCCGCACGGAAATAAAATGGCGATGAACAAAACGTCGATTTGTGGATAAAAGGATTTGGGGTTCAAAACGATGATTATGTGAGGATTTCATATTGGATGGGGATCTTCTCTTCGAATGTGGATACATAGATTTGGCGTATGAAACATGATGATGTTGGGGATTTGAGATTGGATAGGGAGCTAAATCGAATGTGGATCAAATAATAAAAGGATTTGGGTTTCGAAACGATGATTTTGTTGGAGATTTCATATTTGATAGGCAGCTTATGATCGAACTTCGAACTTAGAGTTAGAGGGGACCCTCCAAGGCGAATGAGGGATCGTAGAAGGGAGACTGGAAATTGGTTAGGGCGGCGGGTCGTATCCATAGGGTTTAACCTCTTAATCGATATCATTAAACCGGGTACAGTTAGGTTGAAGTCCAATTAATAAAGTATGAACGCTTCGTGATGCTTTTGGTAATTTTCCTTGCCCCCGGTTACCCGTACCCCGGATTTTGCCCTGGGCACCGTAGAACTGCCCATATATATATATATATATATATAGTGCCTTTAACCCTTAATGAGTGAACCCTAGGTCCCAATTATCTAAATCATAACTATAAACCCTCATATGGTGCATTGATTTTTTTGCCTATATTTGGACGAATCATAACCGCCGATTACTGTTTCTAATTAAATTGATCTTGGGGTATAAGATTTAGAGAATTAAGACCTAGATTTTGATCTTTAAGGGTTAGAGTATAGTATCATGTCTGAAAGATCAGCCAATTCAAGTTCTGGATAGCGTTTTCTTACTCAAGGTATGCGGTATCTCGGATTTCACCTTGGGTACCGTAGAACTCCTCATATATATACAAATTTCTCCCTTTTCTTACTAAGGGTTTGACCTAGTGGTAATACCATTAGCATAGAAACTAAAGGTCTCAAAATCTAATATCCTAAATAGTATCTTAATCACCAAAAAACTAAAAACCTATATCACCCTTATCCAAAAAAATTATCCCTTTTTGAACTGTCAAACTGTTTAAAATTTCACAACATAGTTGCATCCACCACAAAGGAGTATGTTCCATCATAATTAATGTTATGTTTCAACATAAATTGTGTTATATCACCTTGTGAGGAGGACGTGTAACACCCTAACCCGTCCGGGTACTATTTTTACCAAAATAACTGAAAATACTTGGGAAAATAACGAAAACCTTTCATAAATAACTTTAACAAGTACTGAGAATAAACTGTAATTTCTTAAAACAAAGCCCTAACACTTGGGCAAACTCAATCCTTAAAATCTCAAAAGGATCTCCAGTCTATACTCTTAATCATAAGATGTAACAACTCATTAATCTATAACGTTGCCGCTTACTGAAAACCTTGACTAGACATCCCTCTACTCTCATACAATCCTCCTCTAGCTGGCTTCCATGGAGCTGCTTCTTCCGACCTCGATGCTCTCTAACTACTCCTCTGGCTCTTCCTCTTCAAACTGGTGAGTGAGTTGGGGTCAGTTTACGCCCTTACGTTTTAACAGTCTAGTACTTTAGTATTTTACTTCAGACACTTAACTTAAACTGGTGGGAGTTGTTTGTACTTCCACTCTTATAAAAATCTTCTCTTAAAACTATATGGGAGTTACTGTTACTCTCCCTTCTCAAATCTAAAATCTCAACTTAAATACTTGGCCGACACAGGGATCCCTCACTAGCTAGTCCGGTTGCCCAACTCATACGTATGAGAAGCCCTCCAGGCTTTCCTTAAACTTAAACTTATCGTGGAAGGCTCTTCTTCCACGATTCTCAAGAGCATAGCTGCTGCTCATCTTAAAAATCTCAAGAGCATAACTGCTGCTCAACTTAAATATATCAAGAGCATAACTACTGCTCCGTCTCAAAGATCTCAAGAGCATAACTGCTGCTCTATCTGAAAATCTCAAATGGCAACGGACTAATGCTAGTGACTAAAAACACTTAAAACGACTTCAATTTCTTAAAGGTGAGTTACTTCTTAAAAAGAACTTGTTTCTTAAACTTTAACAATAACTTATACTCGTAAAATTTCAAAGTAAATAATAAACATTCACTTCAAGTCATAATTCAAACAAGACACGTATCATGCGTACCCTTTACACTCACTCACCTCATTACAATCACTCTGAATTAATCAGGGTTCCTCGTTTAGGTATCCATGAAATCTCTATCTCCTTTGCATCGTTCCAAAAGCTGCATGTGATTTCCATTACAAGAAAATCAGTTCCTTACGTACTATAATTCTCTCATTCTTAATCCTCAATTAACCCTTCCCTCCAATCAATTCCCAATAGCCACGTGAGTACCATCCTTTGGAGTGGGCAATTTATTCAAATTGACAAACCCATTTAACGTACAAAGCAGCTGCTAGCCAATCACGAACAGGCTTACCTTGCTAATAAGGCCATGCGGATGGAGGCTGGAACTCTGGGGGTTCTCGAGGGAAAGAGGAGGGTCGACGGAGGGCTGGCGCTGCTGCTACCTTTGGTCGCGCGGCTGTTGGCGAGAGCGTGGAAAAATGTTGGGGGGTGGTGGCGATGCCCGGCTGCTGCGGCTTCGTCGATTCATCTGTTCCTCTCAAACCAATGCTTTCGTGAATCCCCTTCGCTAAGCTCTCTCGCGATCGCATCCGGTTGCGACTGCGGCTGCTTATTCTTGTTGTGGCAGGGTGATGCCGTGATGGTGAGGAGGGGATTTTGTGAGCAGTCGAATAGAAGGGCGGCAACTCTGCTTTTGGTTTTCCCTATGGGAATAGAGTGACTTTCTGAGTTGTTCTGTTTAGATTTGCTTTTTTTTTTTTTTTTTTTGATAATGGTGATGATTATATTAACAAAAGAAAAAAGGAGTACCAAGTACACAGCCACTGCAAACCAAAGAAAGAAAAAGCTGGCACAAGAATTGCAAGCGCCAAGCCGCCAAGAGGAGCTAGGCAAACCAAGATGCCCCTGCTCACTCAGAACGAAAAAAAGGAAGTAAAAAAGAAAATGAAGAAGGACAGCAAACACAACAGACAACAGCAAAACAGCATACAAAGTCCAGGAAAGGAAGCAACAACATCATGAGTCCACGCAATCACATGACAACAGCAACACAGCAGCGCAGCAGTGGATCGCAAGCCGCACCAACCACAACAGCAGCGGAAGCCCACAGAAAACCGACCATCAGCAACACAGCAGCGTGAACCATCACTGATTCCGACCAGGCCACATCCATTGCAACCCTTGCGATCTGCTGATCTTGCCATGAGCCACTAGCCATTCAACAATTGCATACATCGTCTTCCTGAGAACCGAGGAAGCAGGGAGAGCTTTGTCTTCGAACAGTCGGTGGTTCCTCTCCAGCCATACCTGCCAGCATACCGAGTGTAGGGCACAATAAGCAATCCATTCGAGTGTATCAGAAGGTTGCTCCGCCTTCCAATTGCGAATGATGCTGACGATATCACCGCAAGGATCCAACTCAATGTTACACTTCTCTTTCATCTCATTCCAAATACTTCTCGTGTACTCACATCCCGCCAGCAAATGATCTATGGATTCCGAGTCTTTTAGACACAAACAACATCTGTTTGCCATTGACATTCCTCTTATCTGAAGATTATCGAGGGTGAGGATTCTTTTGTGCGCGACAGTCCACAAGAATGCATTGATCTTCGACGGGATACATTTTCTCCAAACTGAGTCAGCTGGGAACTCCGGCAGCCCCGGGAACAGATTGCTAAAAGTGCCGGTTGGAATAAAAATTAATGGTCTCAATTACTCGGGTCTTGATTATAGGACAAGGCTTGGTTCGATTCAAGTTTTAGTTCGTCGATTCAATCCACACATTTATTATGGGTTGAATCCAAACTGAAAATCGGGGTGTTACAGTACGTCTCCTCATAATTAATGTCATGTTTCCTTATCATTCTTTTATAAAGTTTTTGGTTGACATTGTGAGATTTCCGATGTGGTTTTTTTCATCTTTCTGGCCTGCTTCATGAGAGTTTTGGTGTGCATGGTTGCACAAATTTCTAATATGCTTCAGGGAACTTGTGGTCAGCTTTATGAGATTTTTTGTCTATTCGAGAAAACTTTTAGTAAACTTTGTGGTATGCTTTCTATATGCTTCATGAAACTTGTGATAAGTTTTATAGAAAGAAAACATCAATACTTACTTGCACTCACAAAAACAGTACTCTTCCAAACAATTTGCCTTCAAATTTTTGGCATTTTGTTGTAATGCAAGCAACTCATATGATAAACATATTTCCTACTCCTTTTTTCCACACTAACACACCTTTTGAACAATTATGCAACAAACCACTAAATCTAACTCATCTTAGAGTTTTTTGTTGTTTATCTTATGCATCTACGATTAAAGCAACAAGGACAAAGCTTAATGCAATAGTTGAACCATATGTTTACCAAGACATCCTCCTGGTATTGAAGGTTTTAGGTAATATGGCTCAGACTACACATCCTGATTGACGGTGAACTATAACCGACGATAAGGTGTAGCATAGGGTAAACAAGTAATAAAAATATCAAACCACGGGTCTCCTATGTGTACCTTACCTCGGGTTAGGTTTCGTTATCTAACCAACCTAGAATAGTGATTAAGAAACTAACCTAACCACTACCCTAGCTAATTACAAGTGATGAAGCTCTCTTAGGTTTGTATCTCCCTAGTTCTATTGTTTGGATCGATGTTGAATAATATCCTAGCTCAATCGATTAACTGCCCTACTGTTATGAGATCGACTCACTCGGGATTGACCCAGAACGGCGAAGTGATGGATGGTAAGGTGCTCTATTCAGCCTAGGGATTCATATGTCGTTAGGAGATCGATTGAATCAACTCACTTGTTGATTACCCGAATGATATATGATAGGAGTGGCCCGATGATGTCAATTATGGGCGCTAAGGGGATTATCTCCCTCGTAGGTCAAAAGCTCAATTGACTTGAAGTGGAATACAAAATCATGCAATCCTTGAAAACATCCATCAAATAGATAAATTCATCAATCAAACATAGAATTTGTCACATACATCAACATTAAACCAAAATCTAAACCTAGGGTTCATCAACCTAAGAGAAAGAGGTATAGTTCATAGAGGAGATGAGAGAGATTACAAAATTGCTCAAGATCTTCATATTCTGCATATTGTAGGCTTGAATCCTTGACTTGAAGATCAACCCAAGTCTTCAATTAAGCTCCAATATCACTCTAGAACTCCTCTTAGGTATTTGGGGTCGAAACCCTAGAGAGAGAACCAAGTTCTCCTCCCAAAAACCAGCTTCATTTTCTCACTCCCACAAGTTGCCTTTTTATACAGCCTGATAGCCAATTTTACGGCCTAGATCTCACGGCCATGACATCGGACTCCCAGTCGTGATCTCATCCAAAAGCACATAGTGTTTGTTGTCGTTTTAGTCCAATGTCACAGTCAACTGGAAATTGTCAAGGTCTGGTGACCGTAACAATTGATCTGCCAGCGAGACTGGTAGACATTTAGTACTTTTCTATTTATGAGGATTTGATTGTTAAGAATTGTTTATGTGGGTTTCAATTGAGGATGGGTTAAGATTAATAAGTCAGGGTAGTGATAGGTAATTGTATTTTAGTACGTAAACTATGATGCTACGTAGAAATGGGTAAGCAGAGATTATAACCCTAAACCTACTTTGATCACTCTCTCTCAATTTCCCCTTGGCCGCCGAGCCTTCTCCCTCCTTTTCCCCTGCTGCCGCTCGGCAGTTCTTCTTCTCCCTCTCTTCCTTCGTGCAACCCCCAAATCCCCCTTTCTTTCATCACTCAGTTCTTAGGATCAACCCCTAGTTGATCCCCATAACCTAATCCCTAGATAGAGCTCTGATCTTGGAGTTCTATCATTTGGTATCAGAGCCCGATTCCTGGGTTCGTGATCTAGCAAAGACGATCGAGATGGTGCTGAAGAAGTCCATGGCCGCTGCTGAGAATGTTGCTATGGCCAAACAAACCGCGGAGGCTGCCGCCGGACTGTCGGAGGGTACCAAGGAGACGGCGGCGAAGGTGCCACCCCCACCGAAGGCTGCACAGGGGCGGCCACCACTTTCGTCACTGAGGGTGCAGGTGGACGGCGAGCTGGAGGACCTGACTGAGCAGGAGACGGCGTCGATCAGTCTCGGCGATCTCGTGACTATGATCGCGGAGGAGCGCCAGGCAAGGTTGGAGGAGACTAGGCGGATGGAGCGCAGGCTCGATGACTTTCAGGCCATGCTGGTGGCGATGCACGGCGAGAGGCGGCCGGGACCATGTGGCGCGAATGGCGAGGAGGGGGCGCGCCAGGAGGAAACCGTGCCGGCGGCGCCAGGCGCAAAAACATTGACGGCGCCTGGCATGGCGGCGATGGCGGCGGCCGGCAGGGCACGGCGCGGCGGGCGGCGCGGGTCCGAGCGCGGCGGTGGGGGCGGCCTCGGTCGTGGAGCTGGCGCCGCTGCTGCCGGAAGGCACGGAGGACCCAACGGCCAATCGGGAACGGCCGGCCCATGGGCCACTAGGTCGGGGTGGCGGGACTGGACTTTTACCTACGTCGACGGAGATGACCCAAGAAATGGCGGCCCGCAAGGGAAAGGCCAAGGTGACGGGCTACGGCAGTGGGCCATATGGCTCGATGAGTCGGTCTGATCCAGTGAGGCAGTTTAACGAACCGCAGGGGCATGGCTGGCTCAGCATGGATCAGGAGCAGCTCGAGGAGGAGCTCAGATTGGCGGACCAGGATGCATCATGTGCCGATCTGGCCCTAGAGGGAGTTTACATGGGCCAGAACCAAAATTCGGGCCGAGCTACACGCGTCGGGCCACGCCAAGAGGAGCAGGCCTGGTTTGGCGGAGCTGGGCTGGGCCGAGGGAGCGGCTTGGCGGGGCGTGCCCAGCAGGGATCGACCGAACCGCACGGGACCGGATCGGGGCGAGCTGTCGGTTGGGTCGGTTCGGTTAGGGGCGAACCGGGTCGAGGCGGACCGTTTTGGGTCACACCGGGATGGACCGATGCGGGTCGGATCGGGTCTGGTTGGGCTGGCTGGGGGTCAAACCGGTTCGATCCGCCACACGGGGGAGCAGGTAATGTGGGCCTAAACTGCTGGCAAGGGCCGTATGGGCCTGGAGGAGCGACTGGGCCACCAGTTCGAGGGGCCTCAAGCAGTTTTGGACATGGAAGGGGCTCCCAGTTTGATCAGAATCACCCAGGCGGGGACCCTGGCTATGACAGGTATGGTTCGTACCTTATAAAGCACCAGGGGGTGCTTTTGATCAGAATACGCAGCTCACACACACAATCGAACGATAGATGATGGATAGGTAGAATTCTCGCCACAATCGAGGTGATTAATCGATTGATAAGAGAACTTGCTAAACGATTCTGGAATCCACTCAGAATAGCTTCACAAGGGTCTTGTAATTATCTAAGGAATCCACTCGTAGCTAATGACAATGGGTAAACTCTCGAGACGCAACTCAAGAACTCAAACACTCGGTTTGTATTCAATTCAATCAACTCTATCCTTTACAACGTGAGAATGAAAGCTATTTAAAGACAATAAAATCCTAATACAAACCTAATAGAGCTAGGAAACAATTATGGTAAAAACAAACTCTAAAAAGGACTCAAAATTCGGCCATAAACTTCCTTTTTTTGCGCACAAGTAAGCTGCCCGCAAAACAGTCAAAATGCAGCTTTCGTACTAACTTCGCGCCTT